CCTCTCTTCTGTCAACAGCAGGGGTGTCCAAACTTTTTTTCTCCGAGGGCCACATACAAAAAGAAATACGAAGGGTTGGGCCGCTCACTAGAGGTATATCGCCGTGTCAGTTAAGTTATAAGTTAGCAAAATCAATCAAATGTAGTTAAATGATGCTTGATACTTGAAAATGCTTTAGGAAACACAACAGCCTACATCACAGCTCTCCAGAGGGGTTCATTTGTTTTGTTGGCAGCTCATGCCTTAATACAGAAGCTTCAGATTGCTTATAAAAAGAGGAAAGAGAAGGCGTAGATTTCAAGCTTGTTATGTTACTAAGTTATTGGGCTTTTTTTGTATCAACAAAGATTTGTTTGATAATGTTTCCAACTTAAAGTGGACCTATCATGCTATATTATAATAATATAGTGTAGGACCATACCTATATAAGGCATATTTATACTTTTTTTTTTTTCAAAATACCAAACAGATCATGCATTTTAGCCATGCCTCATTTTGCTCAATTTGCACTTTTTTAGCTCTGTTTTTGCAAGGGCAGATTCTGTGAGAACAGCACCACCTACAGGCCTGGCATATGTACTACAACGTCTCCAGCGCTTTCGAACGGCAATGGCCGTGGCTGTCTCCTCCTGATTGGTGGAGTTGGCCCAATAGTCGTAGCGCCACCGTCCTGACGTCAGGACAGTGTTCAAATCTGGATCAGTTTTTATCAGATCCGTTGCAGCCCCTTTTTTAGAGATTTGGGTATGGAGGAAAATAGAGAGGGTTGTGTTTTCTGACACTTGGTGAGTTCCCTGGAACACCGGGGACACATATTCATGTATAAAAGACATACAAAAGTGCATTTTGCATGATAGGTCCCCTTTAATTGTATTGACTTTGTTTGAAAAGTGGGCACACATGAATACTGTGATATATATTATTTTTACATATTTATTTTATTAGTACAATATATGACAAGCACAAGTTTAATATGTGGGCCATATTTCATTATACTATTTGAATTAGCTGAGGGCTGTCACCTTTACATGTTGTAGCATTAGGAACCTCTGGTGTTGATCCTGTGTTTGTGTTCAGTTCTGGATGTCAGCAGTTTCCACCACCATGCCCATCCCCTCCGGAGCCTTCATGCCAGTGTTCATATTAGGTAAGAGGATGTTGTAATGTGAGCGCTGTGTCTCCTGCTGAGCTCCAGTTCCATTTGTCTTCACCGCCGTGTCTTATCTCTTCCAGGAGCTGCTTTCGGCCGCCTCGTAGGAGAGATCATGGCCACGCTGTTCCCCAACGGGATCCTGTTTGATGGGATCGTGTACCGCATCCTGCCGGGAGGATATGCCGTCATCGGTCAGTGTATTAAAACCTTAGTGTTGGCCATAAGAGTTATTGAAGACTTGTGATTTCAATGAATGACACTGAAAGTGCTAGATTTTCTAAACATTTCAATATTGCACCCCATTTAAACATCCTCTAGTTATATAATATGTTGCTTTTGCAGTAGTTTTGAAACAATATGACCATTTTCACTTGACTTAGCACTTATTAGTAAATAACACAATAACACACTATACTGTGTAATTTTAACAAGACTTTGGAGGAAGGAGTAAAGCTTTATTTGTATCTTATTTTGATCACATATCCTACCTTTTTCTCCAGGTGCAGCAGCGATGACGGGAGCTGTCACTCACACCGTCTCCACCGCAGTGATCTGCTTCGAGCTGACGGGGCAGATCTCTCACATCCTGCCCATGATGGTGGCCGTCATCCTGGCCAACATGGTGGCTCAGGGTCTGCAGCCGTCACTCTACGACTCCATCATCCAGGTGAAGAAGCTGCCCTACCTGCCTGAGCTGGCCCTCGGGCACGTCAGGTAACGCTGAAGACGCCTCCTTTCAAGTGCTTTTAAAGGTCACCTATTATGCAAAATCCACTTGTTCATGTCTCTTCTTCATCAACATGTGTCCCCTCTGTGTAAAGAGACAATGAAAGTTTCAGGAAAAAAGATTCTCTCTCTTTTTGTCCTGATCCATTTATATAAAAACCTGTCTGAAAATGAGCTGATTTTGGACACTTTATGATGTCATAACGATGTTTTGGCTTGTGTAACCATTAGCCAATCAGCAACCAAGGTAACCCCCCCCCTCCTTATCACCTGAATCTCCTCCTAGAGCACCATTGTGTTCTTTTTAACCAAATATCTCTCAGAGGGGCGTGGGGAGGGGCTCCTTATTTTCATCTAAAGTTACAGACAGAGAATCAGCACTTTGGAAACAGGGCTGAAACAGAGGGGATTATGGGATGCTGCAATGATCTGTTTGGTATTTGGAGCCAAACACTTCAGAGACATGTTTTGTATATATCTGAGACCTATAATATATTGATGAAAAACAGTATAATAGGAGACCTTTAATATTTTCCCATAGTCAAGAGGAGTCTATATACAAGTAATTGGAATATGATATATTAGATAAATAATTTGTAAGTTGCAAACAGATGAATGTTATGGAGGTTCTTTCAAAAGTTCAGGTGTTTAACAGTCTTATGGCCTGTGGGATGAAACTGTCCCTGAGTCTGGTGGTACTGCCAAAAGGTATTTATTGTCGTGTCTCTGCGTCCTCAGTAAGTACAACATCTTCGTGGAGGACATCATGGTGCGCAAGGTGAAGTTCCTGTCTTCTCACTCCACCTATCGGGAGCTGAACGTCCTGCTGGACACCACGTCTCTGAAAACCATCCCGCTGGTCGACTCTAAAGGTGGGATTCAAAAGATTCAAAGGTTTAACGGCCCCGTCCACACAGCGGCGTGTGTTAAAGCTTCAACGTATACGCTTCAGCCCATTCACTTTGAATGGGCTGACGTCATGCTTCGCCGAACTGCATTGTGGGAGCGAAGCGTAGCTTTGTTTGCATTGCTCGCTGCAAAAGTTGAGCAATGTTCAACTTTTGAAGCTTCGACGGAAGCGTCAGCCAATCGAATCATATGCCAGTACAAGCTCTAGCCAATCAAACCGCTGCTTGTGTGTCCGGGGCGGGAGATTCAGGTGATTGGTTGTTGGTCTAGCTTCAGACATGCCCGCCGGCAAGCGACAACGCACGCCGCTGTGTGGACGGGCCGTTATTGTCCTGTGCACAAAGCTACAGTGTAGAAATGGCAATGAAATTCTTCTGACCTGAGCTCCTCCAACAATGCAACATACAAAACTACCAACAGCATCATGTTAACACTTCTATCTTGTTCTATAGATGCAACGTTGAAAAGGAAAAGTTTGACACTTTAAGAAACAAACATATTTATGGGTCTCATGTTTGTCCGCTGAATGTGATGCCACACAGCCAGGATGTTAGCTTAGCTTAGCATTAACATTAGAATCAATGCGAACTGCTCGCACCACACCGACAAAAGTAAAGCAAACATTAAAACGTGTTTCACGCCTTCCCCCCGGTACCGGGCGGATAAACGCGTCATTTGCAGGAAACAACGTCTAAGGAATCTTAATATTGAATAAAACTATGAATGTGTTATATCCATGTAACGGGAAGAAACTCAGCTAACTGATCTTTTTAATTTTTTTTTTCAAAAAAACCCCACAATGCTAGCACTCAGCCTCTGAATTAGCCTCGACGAAAAAACGTAACCTACAAAGGCACATAAACTCACTCAGAACTCCCTTATTACTTATCCTAGATGCACAACCAAACACTATTTTTTGGTGTCCTGGAGACACTGAATCTAACGGTGCCCACCTCAACACTCAGTGATAAACATTCGCGACGCTATCAACGAAAGCGTACATCATCACATGTGGAGCCAAGAAGCTAAACATGTAAATATATCTTACCTTGGTCAAAAGTGGTCTTCAATGGCATTAAAACGATAAAAAAACGATGCTGCAGTTAATCCATAGGTTCATCCTATGTGTCTGTGCCTTCTTTGAAATTATTTCTGATAATCCATAAGCAATACAACTGCGTTTTAGTTTCCAAACTCCAGAAGGAGACATTCCTCCAGTTTAGTTTCGCTTTCCACACGTGAAGCGGCAACATTTTTTCTTTACAATGTGTGTCTATGTGAGTCTCCTCCTTCGATTCTATTGGCTCTAACGGTCACAAGGGTATGTCAACCAACCAGATCGAGCAAGGGGGGCCAGAGATAGGTCAAATCCACCCAAATGACCCCAGATGGCCCAGTTTTTGGCTAAATCTCTCTAAAAAGGTCAAATTTCACTTGTTTTGCATCAATCTTGATACAGGGTACTTATTATATGTTGTACTTTGGATTCCTAAAGCTTTTAGTCTACTAACCCATCATCCAAGGGTAGTTTTCACTATCTGTAAAAAATAATTTTTGGACGGACACTATAATTTACAGTTTTTTACTATGTAAAATCTGAATTTTCTTTAAAATAAAAAACATTTATATTGATTCTGACACTTCTACATCCAACTCACAGGTTTATCATTACTTTGAGAAAAGATTATTAATTTAACCCTTTTAGAAGGGAAGATATGGTCATTTGTTCTGGGAATGTCATTTTCGAGCCTGAGACCTGAAAAACAGGCTCAGAGTGGAACAGGTTTTAAAGGGTACGTACATGCATTTATAGTTGTGCTGCGGTACGTCACTCTGTAGTTACAACACTTAAATGCAAGATGGCGTTTGGTTTTCTATGCTACTGTGTTCAATTTATTGTATAGCCTACCTTAAACAAAGGTGGTTGAAACTGAGCAGATCAGGTTATACATTAAATGGAGAAAATTGACATTGAACAAGAGTTACTTTCACTGAAATGACTGCAAGACGTTACAAGAGATAGTTTGTATTTTCATGATCAAATGGTTATGCAGCCAGAGTGCGCCGCAGGAAATGTGATGCTAACAAGCTAATGAATCACAGTTGTCATCTACTAAGATTTCTGAAGAGGTGCATGTCAGGATAAAGCTTATATACAGTATCTACTTGACACGTTAGGAACTCCAGGAAACTCTCATCTTTCCGCCAATAAATAGTCCCATACAAGAAAATATGACCACACATTTTTAACAAGATATAGCGTGTTTTTATTTGAGCTTGTGACACTCTTCTCTCGGTGCAGAATCCATGATCCTCCTGGGCTCCATCGAGAGGACGGAGCTCCAGGCCATCTTGGACTGGTGGCTCTCTCCGGAGAGGCGAGTCTTTGAGAGAGGTCAGAGTTCACCGGGATCCAAAGTCAGCTGGGAGTCGTTCAGCTTCGTGGACGAGGAGGGCGGAGAGCAGAGCGCAGACAAGGTGGGGAAACATCCAGAAAGAAAGTACATTTACTAAAAGGCTGTATTATAATTTTTGAATTATTGTGATTTGGTTGAGTTTTGCTATTTAAACATACTTTACACTTCTACTTACACACATTTTGGAAGCTGTTAAAGGTAGGGTAGGTAAGTTTGAGAAACCGGCTCGAGATACACTTTTTGTTATATTCCATGGAATGCTCTTAACATCCCGATAGCAATGAATATCTTAAGTGCTTTGACAAAAGATCCATAAAAAAATGTCATCTGTGGAAGCTGTGGTACTGTAAAAAGCATCTGAGCCGGCCCGGCTAAAATAACTGGATGGCCTACCTGCCTGTCAGCCTTCCATCTGTGCACAAACTTATCTCGTGCCCTCATTGGTCATGCGCGCGTTCGTGTGTGTTGGAGGAGGGGCTCTGTAAGGAAGTGGCAGATTTTCTCCGGCTGTGTATTTTCAAATTCTAGCGATCTCGAGCCGGTTTCTCAAACTTACCTACCCTATCTTTAATGTACTCTGTGCTGCATTAGATTTAAAATATTCTATCGTAGTTACTTTAAATACAGATGTTTTTCTTATATATCTTAAAATAATGACGTTTACCAAGTAACAGATCTGTATACTTTTCTCAGCAGCATCCTCGAGTAACTTTAATTTACTGGTGTGATAACATGATGTAACTTTTACAACATGACAGGAGAACATCACTGTTTATCGCCTTAGATTAAACCTAGCGTATTATCTCTAAATAAATATTGATGATGCAGTTTTGAATGATGCTGTTCCTGCAGACTGCTCCAGGTCAGGAGGAGCTTAACGGACCCCTACAGACTCCCAGAGCTCAGGAGCCCTCCACCAACCACTCAGACTCAGGTAACACTCACACTGCACATGCATATAGAGTGGTGCAGGAACGAGTCCTAAAACGTTCCCTCGTCTCAGAGTCAACGTTTTTTTGAACATGTTTTTGGAAAATATCTGGAAATAAGGTCTGTGGTTGACACACATTTAAGAGACGGATCACGTTTTGTTCTACAACATTAAATACATCAGCAGTGACCCCACTGGTGATTTCTGAAGAGTTTACGTGTCTAAAAAACGACGGTTGTTACCAAGTGGCTGAATAGGACTACAGAAGTTGTCGAGGCCGTTGTACGTCATTACGCTGAACACGTAAACACTCCTCTAAGTTTGTTTGTTCTGCTTGAAAGCAAGTACCTGCCTCCTGCAAACTGTTCAAACAAACGCTTCAACTTTTACACTTTTGAATCTGTATGTTTGAATATCTATCTTAAGTTGGCGTGACGTTGAAGCAGCGACCCTGCTGTACTCGGCTGTAGTTCCTTTATAGCATAACGTTAGCATTTAGCTTCAGGCGATTAGATTTATGATTCGAAAATTATAAAAGTAGGGTAGACATGTGGATATTATCCAGCTGAACAAAACGTGCATTTATCAAACAGGTTCGTTTTCCACAGACCTTATTTCGAGCTATTTTCCAAAATCCTATGGAGAAATCCTGTTGCTTTTTTTGTCGAGGGAACCCATGCACAGCTTACTTCCGGGTCGGCCTACAAAAATACGTCATCCCTGCACCACTCTATTAAATATAATGTAACATACGGACAGGTGCATCCTTCAACAGTGTTTTTATTTGTCAGACGGTTTTTGATTTGTTATCTTCACGGTCATCTGTATCATTTTTTTACTTTCTAATGCTCGTTTATTTCTATTCCTATTTTGAGATGTTCATATTTTAGTTTTATTTCTACTCTTTTGATTTGTTATTATGTGCAATGCCTCGTTTTGTTTTATGCTGCTGCAACACTTTTTTTCCCCAAATTGGGATTAATAAAGTACATCTTATCTTATTTTATCTTCAAACATTAAATGTTACTTCCTCTATACTTTCAAACCACCCCAAAGCTCGGCATGCTCTCGTTGTCTGACTGACATTCATGTGTTGATGGTTTAAAATCTTCAGAGCTAGATGAGGAAAAAACTGAGATACGTTTAATTGGACCCGAAGCAGCACTAAAGTGTTCTGGTTTTATCACACAGATGGAAACATTGCTCATTTGGGATTTAATTTAGACTCAAAATGTAATAGAGAGGCGAAGTCCCTCCCTTTCCGGGGGACCTCCATGGGACCTTATTTTGGAAAAAGTATGTATTGAAGTCAATGGAGAGAGAAAGATTATCTCTCGATCCCGTTTGAATTGAGCCACGAATTA